TCGCTTTCTTCTTCATCGTCAACGTCAGGATCGTCACCTATGAATCTATTCCACCGCTCCAGTCGCTCTGCCTCAGCCTCTGCACTTTCACCGCACTTATCAAAACGTTCACGCCCGTCCCATCGCTCAACGCGCAGCTGTCGAGTCCGCTGGCCTCCGCCATCATCAGCACCTTCGATAACCGGTGCTCGGTAGGTGAAGAGAGCCTTGTCCAGAAAGCCAACTGCTACATCTGCCTCCTCTGGCGTATTGAAGGTCACAGTGACCACACCTTCAGGATTGGTCTGCGATAGTGTAAAAGGAAAGGAAAAAAGCAGTCTTCAGATCAGCTCTGATCATGCCTTGTTTCCATTATCACCGAATACCCTTGAGTGATTATTCTCCTGTCGACCACTCGTTTAGCCCCTCGATCCTACAAGGCGGACAAGTCGAAGCCAAGAGCGGTAATTTGATTGATGCGTTACAAATTGGAACAAAAAATTAATTAGTTATGTCTGGTTGAGCAACTTCGATTAAGTATAACGTTGCGAATCCCGAACCTTGACTTTTCTTCTAACTTTAGAGATATACTTTAGTTAACGGTCACAAGGAACTTTTCGCACCACCAGACGTCCATAAAGAGTTACTACTATCGACGGCAGGTAATTCAGGCGTTGAAAAAGGTGTTCGATGATGTCGTCTGGGAGTGCATCATTCAATGAACCAATATGGGTTAAATGTCAACAACAGAGCAATTTTGTCCTATTCAACACAACCAGACTTCAAACCAAAGAGTCAGAAGTTGATTTCGGTAATCCACTTATAACCAAAACGGAATAACAGCCGCATGAACTGCTAGGTCTAGATGATCTCGACTCACGACTGAGAGCGCGGTACAGATTATGAGGTACCAAGCCAACACAAACACAGCTTAGACCGTAGGCATGCAAACCAGGAGTGGTGAAGAGGAGGAAGAAGAGACAACTCACATCATAAACAGCAATCTTTTTGATGGCACCCACTTTGGCGCATTGGATTCGTACACGTTCCCGAATCTCTGGAATGAGGCTGACGTCCAA